GACCCCAGAACTACTAGGAGGAGTCTACAGTCTTCATCTATCACTCTCTGAAATCGGATACTAACTTCATCAGTGAGGAGAGACCTATTGGCCACCATCTTGCTACAGTTCAATTGAGGGCTCCAGCACAGGTTTAGGGTCCCAACTCTTGCAGGACTGTATTGTAGTGTATCTAGTCTCACTGACCAGTGGAATAGGAATAGCCAAGGCTTCTTGCTTGCAGCCAGAGCTTTTGCTCAGAGATAGGCCATCCTTTGGTCAGTTGTGCTGTCATATGTAATCATGCTGATATCTTTAACCGCTCTCTTGTTCTTGGAGGACATATCATATGACCTTCTTCCACTGTAGCCGTGCATGCGCGCCCCCTGGGGGCGATCGGTGCTGTGATCGGTGGGGTGCTGTGTCCCTAGGACGCAGATGATGTAGGCCCTTTACCATGTGATCAGCTGTGTCCACTCACAGCTGATCACATGTAAACAGGAAATGCCAGTTATCATCTGAGAGCTGATAACCAGGACACTGATCATCAGTGCCCTGATTATCAGTGCAGCCCCATCAGTGCCCATAAGTGCTTTTTTTTTTGATTGTTTAGCAAAAATTAAAAAAAAACCCAGTGGTGATTAAATACCACCAAAAGAAAGCTCTATAAGTCTAAAAAAATGATAAAACATTATTTTGGGTACAGTGTTGCATGACTGCACAATGATCATTAAAAGTGCAACAGCACTGAAAGCTGAAATTTGGCCTGGACAGGAATGGGGTGAAAGTGCACAGTAGGCAAGTGGTTAAAGTACTCTGTTGTTGTGTTGTTTTCTAACCCTTTCTTTCCTCCTAGGCTTTTCCTACTTTAATAAAACCAATTTAAAAAAGGTTTGTTGCTGTCACTCGGGTTCAGGTAAGGGTGGGTCATCACTGAAGCAGAACAAGAAGAGCTAAAACAATCCAGTGGCTCCTCTGGGAGTAGCACTACATATGCAATTACATATTTCAGGATAGAATAAATAATACAACTTAAAAAGATTTTTTTTTATTTTAACTGAGAAACACAGAAGGGAACCCATATTAGATTTTTGCCATCTTGCCTTTTCTAGGGGAAAACCTCATCTCTATCATGGTCTTCAGAGATTTTTGTAAATCTTTAGTGACAAGTTTGTGCAAAGGAAATCAATGGGTTTGGAATCCTTTTCGACAAGTGTAATATGCACAGGTGCCACATCTTAAACCTCCCTTATGTGTTCCAAAAACTAGCAAAATAGATTAGCTTCTCTGTCAGAGCGAGAACATATTTTGTTGCTCAGTGAAAAAATTTTGACCTAGATTTGTGTTTCTATCAGCTAGAAATTCACGCTAAGAAAAGTGTTGAACTGGATTGTTCTGACAGTACACATTTGCATAAAGAGTTGCTGTAATATTTCTTTATAAATGACTGACTATAGACTTGTGTTGTATCTTCAGAGCTAACTGTAGCCAGGATTTTTTTGTCGGTTGCATTCTACCATAATTTTAGAGTGCAATGGCAAGTATCAAATGTTAAAAAATATTAAGTTCAAAAACCTGCTGCTATAGTTTAAAAAAAATCGTTAGCGTGCTGGAACTTGTGATTCAAAAGCTAAAGGACCTATAATTGTATATGCTAATAAGTAACATTCTTGATATCTTTTTGCTGGATATTTCACTTGTGTTTTAGAAGAACGAAGAGTAAAAGTTGCTCCTTTAGCTTTACCAACAGCAAGGTAATGACAAACCCACATCCCATTGGGTCACAAGCAAGTTTGCCAAACTTGGCTTTATGTCCTGGTGGGAGGAGTATGTCATCTAGTGCTTTCCCCAGAGATTGTACTCAGAGAAGGTACATTGATGACATTCTCTGCCTCTGGAAAGGGGATGAAGGTTACTTACAAACTTCACTCAATTCATCAGAAGTCTACACTTAGAGGCACTGTATTCTTTCCTTTTTGTGTGCATTTCTAGAGCCAGCTTCTGCTCTCATCCCAGCCTGCCCTCAGTGGATGGACTTTGCATGAGCTAAATATATTGGACTATTGACAATAATTCTGGACTTTCTAACTATATTCCATGTGCCTATAATTTTAACATTGTTGATACTGGATTTACACTGTTTTCACTATCTGTGGATTTATAATCCAATGTATTAATTATATTTATATATATTTTGCACTATTTAGCATAATTGCATTGTATCGCACAATATACGTAAGTCAATTAATGCTTTTAATTGCTTTTCTTTAAAGATTGTGTATTTAGAAGGATAGTGCAACACTTTTTTTGCTAAAGAGGTTAACGTAACCCTATCAGTCACCTACAAAAACTCCCCAACAGATCATGCCTCCTACCTTCTCTTTATGCAAGCCTCCATACAAGTGCTGTAGACTCTTGATCATTCAACACTTCCTTTAGTGTAAGATATCTGTCTCCTCCATAGTGGGCTGTGGTTCAGTTTTCTGTTCACCATGTCACTGCTTTATCCAATAGTGATATAGGGGTTGGAGGATTGAACCGAAGTGCCTGGCAGGGGGCACAGGGATTTTATAGTTCTGGAAGTGTTCAGCATTCAAAACTTCCAGGAGTGTTGCATTACTGTGTCTCCTGTGTCTGACAGAGGATACAGCACTTGGACAGAGGGAAGGTAGGAAACATCCCAAACATAGAGGAGGGTATAATAACTCTTCTAAAACTGTAAGTGTAAATAGGATTTTAAACATTTTTTGGCTGATAAGTTGATTAAACAAATGGCAGACATTGCATACTCAAGCCTCTGTTGCTTTCCCACAAACATGTCCCGATCATAGCTATCAAAGAGTGAACAGCCAATGCAGTATGCACTGTTGAGCTTTTGTCTGCTTCAGCCAGGAAAGCAATACAACAGCTTGTGGCGTACATTGAATTTTGGCAGAACAAAGCAATGGGAATATGATACATTATCTTTCAGCACTACAGAAAACAATTTTGTGTCTTCCTTTCCTTTAGCTGTACATGAATACCTGTCTGGATCTGTACAAGTAAATCAGCTTGTTTGGTGCCTCACCTCCCGCCACCTCTCTCTGCTTCCTTCCTGGAGATGCTATTTGACCCTTGATCCATTGAAGAGCTTCAATGCCGCTAATGTATTCATCAACATCTGGTGCATGGATATTTGGAGTTTACATTATTAGTTTTCAAATGACAAGTCAATGCAGCTTAGCACAGCAGTTGGAACGTATTCTCTGCCTGCCTTGCTCATAATTAGAACATTTTCAGGAAAAGGAAAACATATTTTGCATAAACAAATTTATCTTGCATGTTTTTGTATGAAATAGGTTGACAGAACCAAAGTCAAGTTGAGAGCAAAATTACCCAGAATCCCTTGAAATTGTTGGCTTTATTAAATCTGAGCGCTCTGGAGGAATGATTGTTCATTGTCAGAGGACATGTTTATAGTAAGTAGCCAAGCCTAAAACAGGACTAAACTCATGTTTAAAATAACAAGGAATAATTACAAAGGCAGCAGCCATTATGATTCAACAATATTATTATACAGAATAATGTGTTCTGACTTGAAAAAAAAAATATTTTTTTATCACTGGTATCAACTGACCAGGTATGCTGTACACTTGCTTTATTTAATGACCACACACAGCTGCTTCCACGTCCACGCTAGTCAGAAACTTTTTCAGAGCTTGGTAGCCCACTTTTATTAAAGGCAAGAAACCAAATCACAAAAGTCCAAAATAAGCTTTCCCACACAGAGGTTCTTCACCAATGGTATGGACAAATGAAAAGTTACCAAGCCTCCTGGCTACTCCTTATCAGCACTGCTGGTTAGCAGTACCTCTGCTAATATGGGTCTTCCAGACCGCTGGCTAGTCCCAGCACACAGTGTTGGACTCCTTGAATGCATACAGCCTTGAGTCCTTTAAACACACACCGCATCTGTCTCACTCAGAGACAATCAGGGGCAGCCACTGCTCCAAAACTGCACTCCAACCCCCCCCCTGCAATTCTATAAACCCATCAATATATGGGCTGTGAGCACCTGGGCCCTCACCCTGCTGGTTGTCTTCAAACTCTGGACACTGGATTGGAGATTTCTTCCTTCCCAAGGCACTTTGAAATCTCCAAACTACGGAGCCCCATCCAGTAATATCAAAATCTGGAGAAACCTGCAACAGCAGTTTTCTCCACTCAAAATCTACACTCCGCAGTTATGCACTTCGCACATGTGCAGATGCTGTGTCCATTACCAGACCACTTCTACTTATTTTTATCCTGTGACAGGGCCCTGCACTGTTACAGTACCTTACTCTTTGGAGATGGGAAAAACTGATCTGCAAGGTTCAAGATCAAGCTGAGCAATTGATTTGAATCAAACCTGTTTGACCTACATTGGGATCAGAGCATCAAGCTGGCTGTAATCATATGGGTCCTTCAGTACAATATTTTTTTGGCATCCAGAACTTGGTAGTCCTCTGATCAGGGTTTTTGTACAGAAAACTAAACAAAAAAGGCTCTCACACACCTTGACCGAATAAACCAGTTAACCCTATGATGACTATTTATAGTTGATATGTATAATTGATGGGCTCTTAATATGAATCAATTGGATTTTTTTCTATGTATTTACAAAAGAACTGGGGTAGCAGCCATCAGAGTTTGCAGGGGTGGTTATGTGGGTCAAACTTTAGGAAAGTTTAAAATTCCTTTAACCTCCCGTTCATCTAAGCTTTAAAACATAAACAAACTCCTAAATTAAGATGTAATACTAACTTGAAAATTTACCATTAAGGAGTTAACTACTTGCCGACCGCAGATAGCCGAATGACGGCTTCACTGCGGCCGGCCAGTTCTGGGTGGACGTCATATGACGTCCTCCCAGAACGCGCTCTCCTGCGCGCCCCTGTGTCCTACGGACACAGCTGATCACGTGCTGTGGTAAAAGGCCAATCACAGCGGCCTTTTACCATGTGATCAGCCGTGTCCAATGACACGCTGATCACCGGGAAATGCAATTGCCGGTTCTTGGCTGCACTTTCCTCACGCTGTCAGATCATGAGGAAAGTACTGCCGAGAACCGGCAGTTGTCAGAGCAGGGATCAGCACCGATCATCAGTGCCCTGATGATCGGTGCCCAGCAGTGCCACCCACAAGTTCCGCTCTCCTGTGCCCAGCAGTGCACCCACTAACTCCGCCCACCTGTGCCCAGCAGTGCGACCACTAGCTCCGCCCACCTGTGCCCAGCAGTGCATCCACCTGTGCCCAGCAGTGCACCCACCTGTGCCACCCAGTGTCACACAAGTGTGCCCAGAAGTGCCACCTACCTGTGCCCACCAGTGCCACCCCCACCTGTGCCCACCAGTGCCCCAGTCAGTGCAGCCCAGCAGTGCTGCCAGTCAGTGGCACCAGTCAGTGGCCAGCGGTTGTGCCTGTTAGTGCCCAGCAGTGTCGCCAGTCAGTGACCAGCAGTGCCACCAGTCAGTGCCCAGCAGTGATGCCAGTCAGTGCCACCTATCAGTGATGTCTATCAGTAGCCATCATCAGTGTCGCCTATCCGTGACACCTCATTAGTGCTGCCTATCAGTGCCGCCTATCCGTGCCACCTCGTTAGTGCTGCCTATCAGTGCCCTTCAGTGCTGCCTATCAGTGCCCATCAGTGCCGCCTATCAGTGCCCATCAGTGCTGCCTCATCAACGTACATCAGTGAAGGAGAAAAATTACCTGTTTGAAAAATTTTATAATAGAAACAAAGAAACTTTTTTTTTTTTCAAATTTTTTGCAATTTTTTTGTTTATTGCGCAAAAAGTAAAGTGCTCAGCAGTGATTAAATACCACCAAAAGAAAGCTCTATTCGTGAGAAAAAAATTGATACAAATTTTCATATGGGTACAATCTTGCATGACCGCGCAATTGTCAATCAAAGTGCGTCAGCGCTGAAAGCTGAAAATTGGCCTGGTAAAGAAGGGGGTATAAGTGCCCGGTAGGCAAGTGGTTAAAGGTATTTTTTTTTTTTTTTTTAATTAAAATAACATGTTATACTTACCTGCCCTGTGCAATGGTTTTGTACAGTGTGTCCTGAACCGCCTCTTCTTGGGTCCCCTGCCTGCCTGCTATATTGGCTCCTTCTCTTCTTTGTGTGCCCCCATAGCAAGCCATTTGCTATGAGAGCACACACTGTGTGCTCGCTCCCGAGTTGTGTGCGTCCATGTAGACACACACAGCGGGCTTATCCTGCTCCCCACTTCCTCCTTACTGCATTTGATTGACAGCAGCAGGAACCAATGTTTACATGAAAACACATATATGAGGCCACTCGGAGTTAAAGCACGCTGGTGAAAAGGCTGTATATATGCTTATGGTTGTTGGGAACTGGTTAATGCAGAAATGCATTAAGGTAAAAAAGATTTTGGCTTTAGAACCACTTTAACATTAAATCTGGTCGTAACACTTGACCCAGACCTCTAAACCTTCTGAAATGATAAAGATGGACATCTTTAAGCACACAGTAAGTAGGCAAATGACACATCATGGCCACAACCTGGCTTCACAGACCACAAAGATTTATATGTAGATAATGATTGGCTAAACCACAAAAGTGCTTTATTTTTTTAAAAAAAATTTATATTGACTTTTCAGAAGAAGAATTGCAGTAATATCCATTGCCTAATAAAATTTGTACAACATACATTTTTTTAGTAAAATAGTAAATTTTGTATAGAGTATACATCAGATGAAAAACAGAGGGACAGAGGGATTTGGTTTCAAAAGAGGGAATGTCCCCCCAAATGGGAAACTTTTGTGCTTAACTCTAAATTCCACCATAAATAAACCTGGAACAAGATACAAAAACATAGGTGCATGGTCCACATGATAGGATAGAGGTAGTGACAAAATTGAAATGGTTTACACTCTCATATCCCACCCTATGTAGAGATTTTCCTGCATGCAGGACAACCATCTATGCACCAGCAGACTGAGCTTGTGAGGCAGTTAATGTGGTTGTAAAGCCTGAAGGTTTTTACCTTCATGTATTCTATGTATGAAAGTAAAAAACCTTCAGTATGCAGCTCCCCAACAGCCCCCCCAATACTTGTCCCAATCCAGTGATGTGCACAAGAGTGTCTGCTGGTCCGGCTCTGCTTCTTCATTGGCTCAAAGACAGTAAATTGCTCCGGCTGTTATTGATCACAGCCAGTGAGGAGGGAGCGGGGTGGGGTCAGGCTTCGTTATATGCATCTTATGGACACACAGAGTGGAGCTCAGCAGCGAGCATGCACGAGTGCCCCCACATCAAGCCCATTGCACTCGGTAGGGGGGAGGAGATCAGAGTGCCAACGGGGACCCGAGAAGAGGAGGATTGTGACTGCTCTGTTCAAAACCCTTGCACAGAGCAGGTAAGTTTAACAAAGCTTTTAATATCACTTACATTTTTTTACAAACCCACACAGTAACCACCACCATATGTTTTAATGGAAATATGCACCATTTGCAGCATCTGCTGTTACATTTCTGAACTTTTAAAAGTAATGTCTGTATTGCTTTCCACCACACCCAGACAGAAATGTAACAGTTTACAATGTGGTAGCTTTCAACAGGCATGTCTGCTTAGAGCATTTAGAGATTCAGCTTAATGATCCTTAAATGCTATTTTAACCTGTTGGTGCCGACTGTACATAAATGTACGGCCTCTTAACGTCTGTGTCTTGACATTTGCACACCTAAAAAACCACATGCCCTGTGCACTCTCGGCACGTTTACTGGCACCTCACAGAAAAGTCCGGTCGCTACTTGCAGTCAGGACCTTTCCGATCACGTGATCATTGTGACAGCCAATCACGGCAGTCACATGACCCTAAACCCCACCCCGCCTCATCACAAACCCTTTAAAGGGCAGAGAATAGGGTCAGTCGTTTTTAGGACACAGAGAGTACAGAGACTATTAGTTTGTAGGACAGTGTACAGGGTTATCAAGGCAGTGTACAGGGTTAGCAGGGCATGGACAGAGGTCATCAGGGCAGTGTGCAGTGTACAGGGGGTCAGCAGAGCAGAAGATGAGAGGTCAGCTGAAAGGTGTACAAGAGGGTAGGGTAGAGTTGGTCAGTAGGGCATGGAACAGGGGTCAACAGTGTAGATCACAGGGGTCATCAGGATGGAGAACAAGTGTTATCAGGGCAGAAGGCAGGGGTCAGCAGGGCAAAGGAAAGTGGATCAGCAGGACCGAGGATAGTGGTCAATAGGGCAGTGTACAGGGGTCAGCAGGACCGAGGACAAGGGTCAGCAGGGCAATGTACAGGGGTCAGTAGGGCAGGGTGCAGTGTGTCAGCAGAGAAGAGGACTCGGTTTACTGGTGGCAGATCATTCCTTCTCCCATCCCCACACTGCACATAGCCTGGGCACTCAGCCAGTCTCTTCCTCCCCACATAGAACATGGCTAAGATCGAATTCCCTTACAGACAATTACCTTCGATCTGCACAGTTTGTAGCTGACTACCGCAGCTGTGCTGCTATTCAGATCTGGGAATTTCACAGATCAGAACTGCAACATAGCAGCCAGCTACATACTATGCAGATTTAGGCTGCATCTGTAAGGGAATCCTATCTAAGCTATGTACTGTGTGGAAAAGAGGAGATTTGTTGAGTGCCCTGTGTGTAGCACGGGCAGTGCTGGGACAAAGTCATCTAGCGCCTGGGGTGAAGATGACAAACTGCGCCCCTGAAGTGTAAGCATCCTGTCTAAGCATAAATCCTTCCCCCCCAAAAAAGAAAAAATACTGCACTAATTAGCACACTCACCCCCTAAGCATAAATTCTATCTGCAAGCTAAAATTATTTCACCCAAAAATGCAAAAATTCCCTCTCCTCCCAGGTTCAAATCCACCCTCCCAGTACAAATATCCCCCCCCCCCAATCCCGCCTTTCAGCTCAAACCCCACACCAATTCCCCTCTATTAGCACAAATCTTTGTCACCCCAAAAAAATCACCCCTCCTAGCACACATTCTCTTTGTCTCAACTTTCTCAACCTAGCACAAATTCTTTCCCCCTATCATAAATTCCCCCCCCCCCAGTCACCCCTATTAGCCCAGGGTCAGTAGGGGGCCCCATGAGATGCCCCTGGTACCTTTCATAGGCTTTTTTGGGTGTGGTTTGAGTGTGGGTGAGAACACAGGGGCCCCATGATCCCCTATTGCCCGGGGGTCCCATAAGTTGTCAGTCCGCCCCTGCCTTGGAGGACATAGGAAGCATATAATCAAACCGTGTGTGCAGCAAAATGGAAGAGTGATTCTGTGTTATCTGCCACATAAAGGAACACTGTTCTGATAGGGGGGAAAGCACAGCACCTGCTACACCCTCTCTCCTCTCTGCCACGTCTCTTTTTTGGGCTTTCACTACTCCAGGCTGCCCTCCCCTTGTAGGCTTGTACCAGCGCTAAGTGCAGGGCTAGAAGGAGGTAGCCAGGCAATACATCCAACGGGTTGCTGGCCTGGGGGGGCAAAACAGAAATCTTGGGGGGCGTAGCTCACCCCAGCACCCACTTAGATCCGACCATGATAAATAGCATTCCCATGCTTTTTCATACTTTTGTATGTTGTTATTGGCAATCATAGGGATACCTGGGTGTGTTTTGGGACTATGCTCAGGTAATCCATGAAAAGTTTTTGTATCCACTGCTGCACCTGATATATATATATATATATATAAGTGGCTTTTTTCCAGCTGGAACTTGGTGGAACTCAGCTCCACCACCCCTGGTTCAAGCTCTCTGCTCCCTGCCCACCACAATCACTTGTAAACACAGAAGTCCAGCTTCTGTGTTTACAAGTGACAGCGTGTTCTCCAACCAGATCTGATCTGCTGAGCGGCTCCCACTGAGTGCAGGATGGCAGCAAGGTAGATGCAAGTGCCTGGGGTGCAGTGTGGATGCCTATACCCCCACTGGATGATCTCCCTGCAAGTGAGAGAGGTGGAGCCACCTACAGTGTGCGGGGAGGTACTGGAGCCAGCAGGGTGTTAAGCTTAATGCAGCAATGAAAGTAAGATGTGGAAGATGGTGGAGCTTTTAAGGAGGGGGAGAGAGGATGGGAGTAGTGGAGGTGGATTGCATGCAGAGGGCAGCGCTAAAGAGGGGTGAAAGTGAAATGTGGATGGGGGATGCAGAGGTAAGCAGCTGTGGAAGAAGGCTGAACTCTGCATACAGCGCACCCCTGAGCTCTGCACTCTGTATGCAGTGCACCCCTGAACTCTGCACTCTGTATGCAGTGCACCCCTGAGCTCTGCACTCTGTATGCAGTGCACCCCTGAACTCTGCACTCTGTATGCAGTGCACCCCTGAACTCTGCCCTCTATGTGTACACCCCTTCCAACTCTGCACTGTG